AAAATGCTCTCTATGCCAAGAATAATATTGGGTTCGTAAATGGAACTCTTGAGAAGCCGAAGACAACCTCACCTCAATACCAAGCATGGATGAAGTGCAATTCTATTGTGCTCTCTTGGATCCTTAATACAGTCTCTAAAGAATTGCAAGATAATGTGGCTTATGCAGAGACATCAAAGGAAATCTGGAATGAATTACTGGAACAATTTACTCAAGGGAATGCATCTCGTGTGCATGAACTCAAACTTGAACTAGCAACATTGACACAACAAACAAGGTCAATATCTACTTATTTTACCAAACTAAAACCAATTTGGGATGAGTTACAGGCACATGAACTTGTACCTATCTGCATTTATGGCTGCACATGTGGAGCAGTAAAAGAATATGCAAAGGCTTGAGAGAAATAAAGAATCCACCAATTCCTAATGGGATTGAATGAAAACTTTTCCACAACTCGATCCCAAATATTAAGCATGGATCCTTTGCCCTCCCTAACTAAGGTGTATGCAATGGTAACAAAAGAAGAAAAGCAGCAAACAGTGGCAGCATCCAGGGGTCCAAATATAGAAGCCACAGCTCTTACAGCAATGGGACCATCAGGAAAGTCACAATGTGATCACTATAAAAAGCTTGGGCACACTAAAGAAAGATGCTACGAGATCATTGGGTATCTTGTGAGTTGGAAGTCTAGGATAGGCAAAATGAAGACGAAGGGTGAGGCACAAAAGATAGGACGAGGGAAAGACCATGCTTTTGTGGCTAATGGAGCACATAAGCGCACAGAGGAGTTATCAAATCAATCTCCAATTTCTGGGTTGAGCAAAGAGCAGTATGACCAACTCATCTCGCTTCTCGAGGGTAATACCATCGTTAATCACTTAGCCAACCATGCTGGAAAGGCATAAAACTCATCTTTTCATTGGATCATTGACAGTGGGGCTTTGGCTCACATGACTCCACACTTATCTGTATTTTCCAAAGCTAAACCTTATACCTCACCTGTCCGTATACCCAATGGAACCTCTTTGGAGACATCACATGTGGGAAAAATAATTTTAATTAATGAAATCACTTTAGACAATGCCTTATGTGTCCCAAAATTCACCTGCAATCTTTTATCAGTCAGTGAACTAACCAAACAACTTGGTTGTGCTGTGATCTTCTTTCCTAACTTTTGTGTTTTTTAGGACCTTACCTTGAGGAAGCTGATTGGAGTGGGTAGGTTTCATGAAGGAATGTATTGTTGCAGTTTTGGGCATGTTGCAGCAACCGGTCAACTAAAACAAAAGCAGAGTGCATCATATGAGTTGGGGCATCAAAGACTTGGGCACATTTCTGCTAAACGTTTATTCAAAATCCCTTCCCTGTGTTCTTGTTCTCCTCAAATAAAGCATGTTTGCGACATTTGCCATAAAGCCAAACAGACTCAATTACCGTTTCATATTAATAATAATACTTCAACTCATACGTTTGCCTTACTTCATTGTGACATTTGGGGTAGATATGCCATTCCCTTTAATGTAGGTGCTCATTATTTTTTTGACTATAGTTGATGATTTCTCTCGTTGCACTTGGGTTTATCTTTTGAAACATAAATCTAAAACTGCTTCATACTTGATAAATTCCTGTCACATGATTGAAAATCAATTCCATACTCATGTTCAACAGATTTGTAGTGACAATGGAGAGGAATTTACTGAAGGACTTGTAAAAGATTTTTGTCTCAAAAAGGGCATTTTACAGCAAACTTTTCGTGTGAACACACCACAACAAAATGGTGTCGTTGAGCGCAAGTATCGTCATTTGCTCGAGGTAGCTCGAGCACTCAGATTTCAATCCAACTTACCTTTAAATTTTTGGGGAGAGTGTGTACTTACAACCACATATTTGATTAATTTAACTCCTACGCCCATTCTTTAAGGACTCACCCATTTTAAAAAGCTATTTAACAAACCATTCTGCTATGATTCGTTAAAAGTCTTTGGTTGCCTTTGTTATGCCCACAATCATTCCCAAAATCGTGGAAAGTTTGATTCCAGAGCATCTAAATGCATTTTTATAGGCTACCCTTTAGGAAAAAAAGGTTACAAATTATATGATTTGGAAACTCAACAAATATTTACTTCTAGAGATGTGATTTTTTATGAGGATATTTTTCCTTATTAGTCTAAAGAGAATGGGCACCATCAAGGCAAATCTAATCCTACTATCACAATTTAGCCATTTGAAGAGCATCCCTTAACCAGTGACAATTCCCCTGACAAGTCTGAGGAGAGTACTCACCAACCTAAATCCATGGACCAACATGAGCCGTTGGAGGAAACTCAAAATACATAGCCAACAACTGATTCACAACCTGCTACAGACTCAGGAAACTAGCTTGTGCAGTCTTTGAGGCCACAACGAGAAAGATGTGCACCACATCATTTAGATGACTATGTTTGTAGCACGTCACAATTCATTGATCCTAATCAAGTCACACTCCAATCGGCTAACTCAGGTATCACTTGTCATACAATTCCTTTTCTCCTAATCACAAAGCTTATTTAGCGACCATCACCTCTTTAGATGAGTCAAAAACATTTTCACAAGCTGTCAAGAGTGAACATTGACGAAAAGCTATGAGAAAGGAAATAACTACTCTTGAGCAAAATGGTGCTTGGATGCTTGAACAATTACCTCCGGGCAAGCAAGCCATAGACTCCAAATGGGTCTATAAAATCAAGTACCATCAAGATGGAACGGTGGAATGGTACAAGGTGAGACTTGTGGAAAAGGGCTTTACTCAAATAGAAGGATTGGACTATCATGAAACATTTGCTTTGTTGCCAAATTGGTTACTATTCAGGTTCTACTTGATGTTGCTTCTATTAAGCATTGGGAACTTCACCAATTAGACGTGAATAATGCTTTCTTGCAACGAGATTGACATGAGGAAGTTTATATGAAAATTCCACAAGGTTTTCTCACCAAAAATGAACATAGAGTCTACATATTACATAAGACCCTCTATGGACTTAAGCAAGCTTCCCGAAATTGGTTTGAAAAGCTCATCAAGTCACTATAAGCTGCTAGTTTCAAGCAATCTTATGTAGACTATTCTCTATTCACCTCAATCAAAGGAAAGAGCTTTGTTGCTATCTTGATCTATGTCGATGACATAATTATCATTGGAGATGATAGTACAAGAATCAAGGCATTAAAATAGTACTTACATGCAAAATTCTCATCAAGGACCTTGGGCCATTGAAATATTTTCTTGGAATAAAAGTGGCACGCACAAGTGAAGTAATTGTTTTAAGCCAAAAAAAAGTATGCTCTAGATATCCTAACAGAGATATGGATGATTGGAGCCAAGCCAAGTCCATTTCCTATGGAGCAACACCACAGTTTAGCAATTGCTTCTGGTCCCCCCGCTTCGGATCCTTCACAATACAAGCAATTAATGGGTAGGCTTCTTTACTTAACCATTACAAGACTAGATTTGAGTTACTTGATTGGTATATTGAGTCAATTTATGCAAGAACCAAAGCAAGAACATTATGATGCAGCCATGAAAGTGCTCAGATATGTGAAGTCTTCTCCAGGTTAGGGAATATTCCTTTCATCTTTAAGTCCATTGCACCTTCTTGGCTACTGTGATGTAGATTCGGTTGGATGTCTAGCCACAAGACGTTCCATAACTAGATTCTTCGTTTGCCTTGGGAATTCACTTGTTTCATGGAAATCAAAGAAATAGGTCACAGTGTCTAGATCATCGGCTAAAGCAGAGTATCGAGCCATGGTTGCCACTGCTAGTGAACTGAGTTTGTTAAAGTCCTTACTATGTGATCTTCAAGTTTATCACTCAAAGCCTATGACACTTTACTATGACAATCGAGCAGCTCTACATATTGCCGATAATCTTGTATTCCATGAACGAACAAAACATATAGAGATTGATTGCCATTTTGTTCGTGAACTTATATAGCAAAAAGACATCATTACTGCTAGGGGTGTTTGCGGTGTGGTTTGGTTCGGATTTTATTATTTTTTAAACCAATCCAATTTAATCGGTTAATAAAATTTTTAAATCAATCCAATCCATTATTATGTGATAACCAAACCAATTCAATTTAAATCAGATCGGTGTGGTTTGGTCGGATTGATCGATTTTTAACATTATTAAATATATAAGATAATGTAAAAATATTTTAACATCAAATAGTAAGTATAACTATAAAATACATTAACATCCAAATTAGTAAAAACATGATAATAGGTAAAAATTATAAACAAATTCTTTTACTCCTTTACATTTGTAGAAATTGAAAAGTTTTGAAAATTCTTTTTGTTTACATCACTAGAGGCACCAAAAACAATAAAAAATAACTTTAGATTTCTAACACAACGTAAATAATTCTTGAAGATTAAAATTAATTTTTTTTTCCTAATGCACTAATAATTTAATCACATTTTCTAAATCCTATTAAAAGTGAATAACAATTAACATGAATATTATTAAAATTGATTAGAAGTATTCATAATCAAAATTTAAAACTTCTAAACCAAATATCCAAAAATAGTAAAATATTAAGACTAATTTTATTATATGGTTTAAGGCTTTTAGAATAATACTTATCTAAAATTTAGTTAGGAGAATCATAAGATTATTTTAAGAATAAATTAAAAATTTAGGGTTCTAAGAGTAAAGGCACAAATAAGTTCTGTTGTAGGTAAATTGGAAATTTAGAATTAAGGTTAGAGTGCATGATTAAAATGGAGAAATAACTTAGAGAATATGGAGATGTTCTATTTTTATATTTTTAATTAAGTTAAT